GAGTGTGGGGCTGAATCTCGAAGGAGAATGAAACGATTGTCGACGTAGCGCTCATGCCAGATCACACCAATGTCGGGCATGCAAAACCGCAGAGAACTCATGGTTTGGTGCCAGAAGAAATCCTCAACCGTAGCAACCAAATTGCACAACGGTGGCGGGGCTGGTGATCCCATAGCGACTCCTCGTTCTTGGCGGAACAAGTATCCGTTGATCTCAAAGTGACTGTTGTCAATGACAAAGTCCAGAAGGTGCCGGGGCTCTTGTTCACGAAAAATTCGAGGGATCCTGGTTTGACGGCGCCACTTTCCTTTGAACATACGGCGTCGATGATCTGACTTTACTTCATACACTGACCATTGAGAGGAACTGCGAAGGCCAACTACTTGATCGTATCGATGGAGAAGCACTTGCAGCGCCTGGTGGAATCGTTCCGTAGGAATGGACGTGAAGAAGCCTGACAGGTCTTGCGACACCAGGTGGATGTACTCATCAGGATCTGCTTTTGACAGCGCTTCCCACAGCTGCTGGACAAGTTCTTGTACTGGAAGTTGACCTGCAATGTCGGGGAAGGCAGCTTTGGTAAGTTCAAATATGAGTGCACCGAAGACCGTGAGGAAGGGAGCTGCCCATGTGCGAAAGAATGAAATGATGGGTCGAGCTTTCTGCCAGTCCTTGGTCGGCTTTGGGAGGATGCGCGCTGTGGGCAAGGGTGCTTGAAGTCGAAGTCCCCATGCATATCGTTGACGCAGGAGAGAAGGTACCGTGGTTACCACTTCAGAGCGAAAGGATGCTGCGGATTCACGGCAAAGCGAGAAGACATCCCCCGAGCAGAATGTCTTCCGCATCAGTATGGCAAACAGGGATGGACAAATCACATGTGCGCGGGAGGGAAAATGATCCGCTGGAATAACAACCCACGAAGACAAAGAAGCCACAGTGCGCTGCAACGATGTCGATGACCAATAAGCCCGATCTTGGAGGTTAGTCCGATGAGTGTCCATTAACTGAGTCAAAACCGGCTGCAGATCTGAAAGGAGACTGGAACCATGGACATGCCAACGGCGAGCAAGTTTGCGAAGTTGCGTGGTGAAACGTTGATGCAATAAGTCGACATCACCGAAATACTGATCCTTCATTGAGGCGGCCATGATTTCAATGTCAATGTCCGCATTGATGCGAGAAAACTCATCCACCATTACAGCGTGACCATGTGCACGGTGTATATGGTGATCATCGATGTCCAAACAGCGACACGGAAAGGATGTTTCAGGAGTCCATCTGCGCTGCCATGTGCGGTAGTTGTATATCTTGTCGCCCAATGTGGCGCTGCGAGTTTCCACCACCCGGATCTTTGGAATGAAAAGAGAAGGGAACAGATCCCGATGAGAAGCAATCCAGCTTTGTAGCCATGTGCCAAGTAGAGCTTTCCAATTCCGGACATGCAGCGGCGGTAAGAGTAGCTGTGTCAAAGTGGTGGGTGGTTGTAGCCGTCGTTTGCGCAGCACCTGGGCGAGGAGTTTCTGCGCCTTGGAGCGGAAGGGCTCGTTGACAAAGACTGCGAGCCGCAATAAGTAGTACAGCTGAGTGGGAGGGAAAGCCGCCGACAGCAGGTCACGCATGACCTGGAACGATGCTCCTGTATTCGATCCCAGCTGATAGAGAATAGAGTAATGGGCTTGAATGTCATCCAGGATGTCAGGTCGTAGTTGCCGCTGGAGATCCGGATATAGTCGTCGTCGAAAGCGCTTGTGCAAGCCGAGGGAAGTGGGAGAAGACAACGAGTGACGTCGAAAATCCACGAGATGTTCCCGGAAGCCCACCTTGCGCAAGATTCTGTGTACCCAGGGCGCATTCAAATGCGGGCGTAGCAGGTATTGCCATTTGCTTTCTTGAACCCACACCGAGGAAAGAGGAAGTTTGATTTCCACCGGAACAGCACAGAAGAGCCAGTAAGTATTGGATCTCTTCCAGTAGTGAGGCGCTGGTTCGAAGAAGGCATGCCGTCCACGAAGTAGTTGTAGAAATTTGCGACTGCGTGAGTGTTCACGACGTAGAACATCCTGATCAGTCGCCCCAACATAGTAGGGTGTGTGCCATGGGGAAAGTCGAATGTAGACGCACGGTTGTTAATGATGACCTGGATCGTGTATGAAGTCATAGAGGTCAGGAAATCGCGCCCGCAATGAGCGTAAATGTCGCGTGTCAGCAAAAGTAGAGTGCATGATTTCACACAAGAGAGAAGTCTTGTAGAAGTGAAGGACTTCAAAGAACGGCGGGAAGTAGCCGTGATCTTGTGAAATGAGACGTTGTAAGAAACTAATCAATAAATAGGCCGTGCACCGACATCTGTGAAGCTCATACCTGTTGGCCACGGTGTGCTGAGAGTGTGACATAGCGTGATTCGGAATCTGAAGGGCTATCCGGACCACAACTAAGACTTCGAGGACGAGACCCAGCCACGGCAATTGTGTGATTGATTCGTACTCCTCAGTTGGAATCGACGGTGGTGGTAGTCCAGGAAAACAGTACTGCCAGCACGTAGAGAACATGGTCAACGAGTGTAGAAGGTCGTCCAGCGACTGCCATTGTGCAACATCATCATAGATTCCGCAGCGGCGAAGTTCATCCAACATGGTGAGATACAACCAATGAAATCTACCACAAGGCGACATGAATACAAGTATCACAGACAATCACACAAAAGGCAATGCAAGAACGAGCAAGTACAAGATCAAACTGGTGCAACGCAGAAAATTGACGGACGAGTTTTCACCTGGACTCATCCGTGACATTGGTGCCGCTCCGGGCTCATAAGAGAACGAAGGTCATCATGATGCCTTCTCATCCACAGAGTAGGCGAGCGGTCACGATGAGGTGACTCAATGCCTTCTCAGTGAGTTTGGTAAGATAGCCGGGCTCTAGTCCCCACGAAGCCGCCATCGCCCCGAGAGTGGGTGCGTCACCTTTCGGCATGCGTTGTCGCGCCTGAAGGAGCTGCGTCGCCATAGAATCTAATGACTTGTTGCCGTTGAGCCGGGACGGGTGATTGGCCCACTTAACCAGCGATGCCAAAGTGGTGGTTGTGGGTGATTGCTTGAGATAAAGGCGAGGTTGGTCACTGGTCCATGTGTAGTACTTGACGACTTCATCCGGCGTGCTGTGCATAGTGAGCAATTGTGACGCCACCGGTTTGGACGGCGGTGACGACACTCCGTGAAGAGACTGAATGATCCGAGGTTGCACCACGCTATCAAACGACTTGCCATCCAGGGCGGCTGCGCTGGCTGTAGGAAGGGAGCTGGCAGGTGACGATGATGGTGTGTGGTTGACCGGTGGCGGTGTAACCAACTCTGCATCATCCTTCTGGTTTGTCATCGTGGGAGAGGTCGAAGCGCGAAGCGATGCGGAAAACTGAGCTTGGAGAAGTTCGTGCGCACGATTTAGATCATTGTACTTTTTGACCATGTCATCTGTCTGGGTGGCAGGTGCGAGAGAGGTGTGATGTTGCTGAAGAAATTGAAGTACCAAGCTGGCCAAATGGTCGTGGACCTTGATGCGCTGATTGAAGTCATCGATGTTGAGACCCAGCGTGTTGGCAAGGTCCTTTTCCAGGGTGAGCAGGTTGAGTGACTGTGATCTTCGTAGTAGTTTGGAACAGGTACTCCAAAGCAAGGCCTCGGTGCGAGTGCGAAAGCCTTCCCACGTCACGAATCTGCCGTGTGCAAACGGCCTGAGTAGCCAGTTGGTGAGGCCCCCGTGGATAACCTGAACCAGGCGTACGTCCCTGATATCCATGCCTGACATGTCGCGAAGGTTGCCATGCGGAGTGTTGGCAACAGTCATGGGCAGGCTGAAGTTGTAGAGCTGATTGACATCAAACATGCCATCTCCAGGCGTCCAGTCAGGCGAGGGTGTAAGCCAGGCTTTCTGAGGACGAACCGGTAGAGCCGCAGGAGGTCCAGGTGGCGGTGTAGGTTGGGAAGTAGTGACCGGTGGTGGCATCACGGGTGGCATGAACTTGGTTGGCGTGGGGTCTGGAGGGATCGGCATCATGTAGTTGATCGCAGGGTGTTGGAATTGTTGTGTGGGATTGTGAGTCGATTGAAAGTTGGTAGGTATCATCGGAAAGTTGTTGGCAGCGTTGTAGCCGGAGTTGTGTTGCCATGAAACCAGGTTGTTCCAATCCATGTTCTCCGAGACCTGGCTGTCATTGTGTTCACGTCGGCGTGCTTTGCGAGCTTGAGGGGAAGGACTCCGATCACGTCTGCGCCGAGTCCTAGATCTATCTCGATCTTCACGTCGAGACATGATGGCACAACAAATGCAACACCGCAACTCAACACTCTTGAGAGGAACAGGTCCGATAAATGCAAGTCCATGCAAGTTCAAGCCAGCAGCCAGCAGTAGACCGAGTGAGACGTCGCTATGATCTGACGGCTTTCTTCCCTTTAGTGAAACCTCGTTCCTGGTTAAATGTGAAATTCCGCTGTTCTATGATAAGCACGTTGAGGTCAAATTTTCCGACAGAGCCGGCCCGGGGTCACACAATGGGTACACCCGAGGATTCCCCACGAATGGGGTGTACACACTTGAACTCCAGATGGAGAGTGCTAATCTTTCGAGTACAACTGATGAGTCTCGAGTACAACTGACAAGTCTCGAGTAGGATGAGTTTCGACTCGCGAAGCACTCGGCTTCCCTCTAGCGGCGAAAACGTTACCCGAAAGAACAAGAAGCACAAACAGCGCCGCAACCAAGGGCCAAATAGACTTTCAGAATCACGCAAATGTTGCAGGTACACAGCACGGCGTCCCGTGTTGCTTCACGACAACTCTGGACGGTCTTCGTTGGGCAACGCGACCCAGAGTGTCCGTTGCCCCCCTGCTGCAACCGAAAAAGGTTTTGGTGGCAGGGTTTTCTGCCACTCCGCACACACACACACACCACAAAGACACACCAACCCCCCCCCCACCAACCACCCCCCACCCCCTCCCCTCCACCTGGCTCGAGAACTTCTGCGCGTAGGCCATTCAGCTCTGGCCTCATGGTCAGCAAACCCCCTTGGTGAGATGTTGTGGTGGGTTTCTGTTGCTGTGTTGGTGGTTTGGTTTGGTGGCTTGTTTGACTTTGGGGAACGGGGGGGGGTGGTACCTTCCGGAATCGGTTTCAATACCAACTGGGGCTCAAACCCCCAAATGATACGTGGGGTAAACCAACCTTGGGGCGCTTTTCTCGCTAATAAGTCTCAAAGGCGCTTTTTTCCCAGCAGGGTCACTAGCATCACTTGGACCTGGGGTTGCCTATTCGCTCTCATTGCGAGGAAGTTGGGAGTTGCTGGGGGCGGTTTAAGTTAGGGGGCTTTTGGCTGGCTTAGATCTTCATGAGGGTGGGTCTTGGGGTGGTTTGGGGTTGATTTAGGCGAAGCAAAGGGCTGTCATCCAGGCTGCTGTGGGCCCGGATGTCAGCCCTTCGCTTCTCCTAATTCAAACCCAAACCACCCCAAGACCCACCCTCATGAAGACCTACGCCAGCCAAAACCCCCCTAACTTAAACCAGCCCCCAAGCAACTCCTGAACCGACCGACCAACCAACCAACCAACCAACCAACCAACCAACCAACCAACCAACCAACCAACCAACCAACCAACCAACCAACCAACCAATCAACCAACCAACCAACCAGGAGACCAGCCCTAGTAAAAAAACAAAAAAGATGGGGGAGATCTCGGCTCTCCCTCTGGACTTCTCTGCCAAAACCCCAAAAGAGAACGGAGAAGCTGCCCTTCCGACAGGCGCCTCCTCCGGGAGTGTTGGATCATCACCTCTCGGCCCACCAGGTCCTTGTCCTTCGGAGCGAGACACCGAGACCGTTTGAAGAAACCGGGGCCCCGGGGCCCCGGGGCCCCGGGTCGCGATTCAGGAGAGGAAACCAGAGGGGGGATGGCTAGGGTTCAAGGAAAGAAAGGGGATAGGGTTCATTCCAAGTTCTCGTCTTCTGAGAACCAGCAACTGAAGGTGCGCTTCTTGGGCACCCTTTCTTTTGTAGAAACCGGAAAGGAAAGTCAATTCGAAGTCCCCCTAACTGTTTGTCTTTGTCTTCTTGGGCAGCTTGGCTTCCCTAGGAGCCGGGCAGTGGAGTTGACTGGCCGAAGTTTTTGGTTTGTTACGCCCGGACAACACCTAGAAAACCACCACTTGAGGTGCTTGTCTTAGGGAGATTGATGTGAAACCCAGGGTTTAATCCGAGAAGCGATGGAAGTAAAGCAAGTCGACAAGACAGACATGAGTGTGTCGTTTTTTAGAGGACTCCAAAATTGCCGTGACCATTTGGTTTTTTTTCATCTAACAAAAGCGGGTACCCTCAGAAAAGGATACACAGTCTGCCAAACGAAACCGTGTGATCTGAACAAGTTGTCCAGATAGTCGCCACCAACAGACCCTGGTCGCAGTTTCAATGTCAGCTCCCTTAAGGCCCTAAGGATTGGCCTAGGGCAGTTTTTTTCATGTCAAAGCAACCACTCCATGTGCTCTCAACTGGCCATGGGTCAAAATCCCGTACCCCCAGTGAACATCCCAATCCCCACGAAAATAGACTAAAATGGGTGGTACCTACCCAAAATGCTACCATTGGTGTTGACCCACAGCCAACTTCCAACGAAGAACCCGACAAGCGAGACAACCCCCCGTTCCTGGAGCTTGAGCGTGTCCCAGGAAGTGTCCTTAGAGAGGCCTCCGGGCAGGGGAGACTTCCGGGCAGCTGGGGGAAAGTGGGCCTTTCGGTGGCAAGTGTTCCTAAACCTGGACCCTGAAACCCTGAATGGGAAATCACCTCACTTTCTGGATAATTTGAGGGTCCGCTCTGGATCGAAAATGGGAAGTTCAGAAACTAGCGCAAACATGTGCTCAGGCAGCCGTTGAACGAGTCTCTCACCGGCCTTTCAAGCGCTCAGGCGAATTCTCAACCAAAGGCTTTACCAAGCACACACACACACGGAAAAAAGGAATACACCAGCATAGACCCCAGGCGAAACACGTGCCAACGGTTGCACGCCAGCACCTCTAACAGCACTGCCCAAAGAGCATCTCGACCACCCCAAGCAGCATCCCACAACAGCACCTGCGCAGGAATCAGCAAATTGCATGCCCCGAGCACCCTGCCGTCAATCTCGCAAAAACGCGCCCGTGCTCCCCCCAAACGCATGCCTTCTAGCACCCTGCAATTGTTCGCAAAAGCGAGCCCGCGCCAGCACCCCGAACAGCACCCCCAAAGAGCACTCCCAGAGCACCCGGCTGTCAATCTCGGAAAAAACAGCACCTGCGCCAACACCCCAGACTGCATGCCCCCTAGCACCCTACTGTCAATCTTGCAAAACTGAGTCCGCACCGTTACCTGCATTCCTGCCAGCGCCCGGCCGTCAATCGTGCAAAAATGCGTCCGCGGCGTCACCAGCGCCTCAAACAGTGCGGCAAACAGCACCCCAAAACAGCACCAGCACCAGTACCCAAACTTCATGCCCTGGCACCCTGCCGTCAATCTGCAAACAAAAATGCGCCCAAGAGCACCCCAAACAACACCTGCCAGCACCCCAAGCTGCACCCCCCCCTAGCACCCAGCCGTCAATGTCGCAAATCACTTTCTTTCTTAGAAGTTAGAACCCCTATAGCTTTCTGCTATCTGGGGAACAAAAATATATAAATCAAAAACATACTATCGGAAAAAATAGAGAAAAAGACACAAAGAAGTAAAAAAGAAGTAAAAAAGAAGTAAACAAGAAGTAAAAAAGAAGTAAAAAAGAAGTAAAAAAGAAGTAAAAAAGAAGTAAAAAAGAAGTAAAAAAGAAGCAACAAAGAAGTAAATGCTTGGGAAGGTTCTAAGCCCATTAAAAAATGCTCTAAGCCCATAAAGATTTCGGGCAACTCACGCGTCAGAATGGCTCGGAAAGCTCCAGCAAGCTGGGAGAAACAAGAAAGCCCAGGTGCAAAACTCTATGTGAGGCGAGTTCTCAAATCGTTCCCTACCGGTGTTCCTGTTTGTTTCCCGAAAACACCAAAGGGATTACATGAATTCGAGAAACCGGGGTCTCCTGAAGCTGGAGTGAAACAAGACCCTTACGCTTGGGATTTGATCTCCAGCCACTCAAAAGCAGAACATGAGCAATACCACGTCACATGAACCAACGAACGGAAACCACGGAAACCATGCTCCTTGTTCTGAAAGGGTCACGGGCTCCCTAGCCCTCATCTTGGTAGGGAACGGGGATCCTTTAGACCTAGGCGCGCGCGGGGCCCTTTTGCTGAAACATGGTTGGAGATACCGGCATGGCCAAAAAGTGTGTACAAAATGGGGATGGCGATTTGTGGGCTAAAGAGTACCATGTTCAATCTTAAACTAGGCTTGGGCGAACACAAGCTGACTGCGCGTCATCCAAATTCAATGGCATCCTTGGCGTTTGCAAGTCAATAAGTCAAACGAAGGCCTCACCTTGGCAATCTGACTAGCTTTGGCCGACGGCCAAACAGAGAAGAAGAATTAAGGACATGCCAAAAAGAAGCAGAGGTGACGATAGGGGCTAGTCCATGCTTTCGCCCCAAAGGGCTTGGGACCTTTATCCTTGTTAGTTTGGTGTTTTGGTTTGTTTTGCTTGTTCTGTTGTTGGGCGTGTCTTTGTTTCCTGTCTTTGATTCTTTTCTTAAAGAGTTTGGGGATGTACCAACGGACCTCCCACTTGGCTCCGGCCGATTTGGTCCGTGCCTAGGTGGTTGCAGCACCAGAGATCCAGCTCCTTCTCAAGGGTGTGCCGCCACACCTGAGATCGCCGGGCCCACTGATGGACAAAATCCATTTCGCACTTTGAAATCATGGTTGAACCCATTGTTTGTTGGTTACAGGGGATCCATCATAGGGATTCTGAGAGTCCCTATTGGACGACCCCAAAATGTTGCTGGGCCATCACACGGCTTCAGCGAGGGTCCATTGGCCGAGAAGTCAAGTGAAATTGTCTCCAATTCGACTAAAAAAAGAGAAGACAGCAGAACGCCAGATCTCCGGAGCAAATCTAGCGAGTTCTAAACTAGATGGGTTCCGATCGCAAAGGCACAAGAATATTGGCATCCGGAAGGAACACGTTTGTTAAATCCCATTCACTCAAAAACTGAATATGACATTTGGGTTGTTTGTAACGAAAAGCTAAAGGAACATCACCCGTTGTTGCTGTTTTGTTTCTTTGGGGGGGGGGTCAATTTGTGGTTCAAGATATGGGGGGGATTCAGACATGAAAGGAATGAGGTCATGGAATCAACTCACTTGCCCTACTGGAGCTTTTAGGGCTACGAATTCCAAGAGTTGCACCCCCTGAGAGTGACTTATCAACAGAAATCCCAGCTCTCCTTACATGATGATGTTCCTATGAACAGGTTGGGAGATGAATCTAAGCAGCCGGCGGACACTATGGCAAAATGTTATGTACCAACAGTTGTGTTCCCTGGCCTTCCTGTAACTAATTGGTGGTTGGATTATATCGTGGTTTGGTGGTTGGGCCCATTTGCCCTCTACAAACCAAATTTTCAGATGTCACCTGCCATTCCCGGCGGGTTTCTCTTCCTATCTCAGGTCCACACCAGGTCTGCGTGGTGTGGATAGCTCATCCTCGCACGACCTGCCCCGCCAGGACTTCCGCCCGGCGCCTTGAGCCGAGCACTGCACGTTGCAAAACGGACTCGTGAATCAAAGCGAAGCCTCACGAGGACCGACACACATGGGTATGGCTCAAAATTAAAGCACCAGAAAACCGCAGGTTTTAGTCGGTTCCATTTACTGGGGTTCGCAGCTCCACTAAACAGGTTGTCACAAGTCTGATCAGCTTTATGCCAGCAATTTGCAATCCAGTACTGTGGAAATAATCTGAGATTCTCGAAACGGGGCGGTTCTGCGACCTGTTTCTTCTTGGTTTCACAACCAGGTGTTCATCAGGCACTTGGTCCACAGAGAAATGAAATTCGGCCTTTTTTGTTGTAGTTTTCTTTGTCAGCCGTTCGTTGTGTAGTTCCGGTTGCCTTTTGCTCCTGGGTTTTGGTGACTTACATCAATCCAGGAAAGAAACACCGGAGCCAAACTACAGTTTTACCGTGAATCTGGCACCGATGCTGATCTTGCTTTTTGCGATGGAGAACGGCATTTCTTTCCAAACGGTTCCAAATATATGTTTTGCATTTGGCTCTGGGCCCACGACGTGAGCAAGCCTGCACTACAGTAGTCATCATATGGGGCAGCGTGTGCCCCAAATTTCTGTTTGGAACGGGGGCTCCAACTTCTTGGTTTTGATCAGCTTGCATCACCTGAATGCAAACCAGCGCAACAGACAAATCCAAAGTATGCGGGAATCAAAACACACACTTTGACAGCACCCTAAAAAGAATCAGGATCTCGACCCTTCACTCCGAAATTCCCATCTGGCCACCAGCAAAACAAGAAACGCAAACACGCCTTCAATTTGACTCCATGCTCCGGCTCGAACGGAAACCTTTGCAGCCGTTCAAGCCACCGTTGGCCATCGCGTCTCGGGTTTTCAGGGAAGACGACGTCCCCTCCCAGACCTCCGTGTTCTATGTGGATCGGCCACAGAGGGGTGCGCCCCCCAAAAACGGAATGCCAACAGATTCACACGCAGCGCGGGTTGGTCAAACACTCACCAGCATACCCGCATCATTCCCCAAAACATCCACATTGCTTGCCAGCAATGTCGGACACGGGGGCCCGAACGGCCCAAATCAAGCAGCGCAAGTGAGCGCGCTGCGTGGCGGAAAGTGGAGTCGACACTGAACGGCGTTTTTACCCTGTGCCGCCCACAGCATAATCGCAGGTCGACAATTGGGAAAGCGCAACGGGCAAGCCCAAACGAATTTCCTAATTAAAGCAGGTGCAGTAGCGAAGCACCTGCAAGTAAAAGGCCAACAAAGGAGTAAGACCATGTACTCTTCTCAGCCAAAGCGTTGAGTTTTCCCACATACAACACAATAAAACCTGTTCCCTTCGCTCAATCCAGACATATCATGAGATCTCACGGATCTCTTGAGCCAACCTTAGCTGACCCAGGTCCCCCGAAGGACAGCGGTCCGCGGAGTGCAAAAGGACAACAAAAACACAAACCAGAAACGCCACATGCAAAATCAAAACATAAAATCTGGGTGTGACATGTAGACTGCATGGATTCACATGATGCTTGCAAGGACCGTGTCACTCTCTTATTTTATCTGCTCTTCTTGAGTCAGTATCGCAAAGCTGGGCCTCTTAGAGGCACTGCTGTGAGTAAATGTGTGGCCCCATCCGAAGCTCCACCATCTTTCAGTGGATTCCATCATTCAACGCCACACATTCTCCCCCCTTCCCTTCAGGGACCAGCAGCAGAGCGCTCCTTCCCACTTCGTCTTTGACTCCAGCTTCTTGAAATCTCTTGTTTCGGTCCAGCGCCAGCTTGTCTCGCCTCTACCAGCGCCTCTTCCAGCTCCCTTTGAGCCTCAAGCATCTCATCGAGCAGCCCCACATCAATGTCTTGCCAAGTCACTGAAATTCGACGCTCGTTGGAGAACGCACCGAAGTCCCCGTCTGCCAGCTGATTTTCGCAACACATTTGCAGAAAAGAGCTTATACCACAGCTGCATGTTCACCAGTGCCAAGGGAAAGCGTGTTGAAGACCGGCTGCAACTGAGATGGTCGATGGCCAAACCGTCCGTCCCGCCACACACCGACAGAACTCGTGGTGTCGCTCCAGCGGGATCCAAAAACCCAAAGCAGTGCAAAGCCACATAGACCGCTTCCAAGTAGCCAAGGAGCCACGACGGGGGATAGCTCCAAACTGAACCACTGAGCAGCTCCTGGGTCCGCCCCATCACGAAACGACATCCCTCAAGCACAACAGAGCCTGTAGCGCACTTGGCATCTGAACGCTCAAGTAAAACTCACCCTGGTGTTCATTCAGAGGACGCTGGTGAAGGGGAACGCTACAGTGTCGTGCTCCTCTCGAGACCTGCTTGTCAGGCAGAGCTACTGTCATCCCTACTGAAAGCACAGCAGACCATGCGAAGAGTGGCGCCAAGAAGGGTCGAGCCAACCCAACACCTGTGCCGCACGACAGTCGCCCAAGAAGTTCTACAAACCCCTTTTGGCCAACTATCCACTGATCTTTCCTTGCAGCATCAACCCACTCCACAAACCATGCAGCTCAGAGATCCCCGCTGCAAACCGAGCATAGTCGCAGTAGAGCATTCTTTTCCGTCCAAGTTGCTCTATGCAAGTGCTGCCAGAGCTGCCGGAAGGCGCGCCGCCCTTGTACTTAAAAGTTGCGATTTTGCAGCGGAGCTGCGGAGGTGCACTCGGTTTGTACTTAGAAGTTGCGATTTTTGAGCCGGAGCTGCGGGAGTGTACTTCGCGCACTACGTTTGCACTTACAAGTTGCGATTTCGAGCTGCGGGATTGCACTCCGTGCGTTTGTATTTAAAGGTTGCGATTTTTGAGCCGGAGCTGCAGGAGTGTACTCCGCGCACTACGTTTGCACTTAAAAGTTATGATTTTCCAGCTGCGGGAGCGTCGTTGCGATTTCTGTCTAGAAAAGCTGCCGGCGACCAGGCGGGAATCGAACCCGCGACCGCGCCACTCCGAGAGCAGGCGCGCGAACCACGCGACAACTTCCAAAGACCAGTTCGCAAGCAACAAATTCGAACGGCGCCACAGCGAGAGCGCTTCGACAACGCAGATGGACATTGTGGAGCTCATTGGCGATAAGGTCACAAGCAAGGAAGTGAGTAAGAAGGGAAGCCATTCCCCAAAGCGGGGCCTAAGCCACAGCCGCTCAACTCGGCCCATTTAGTCCACGGCGCCGCAAGAATCGGAAAAAACCTCGAGTTTTTGCACCTCGACCACGCGGATCTCCGAGGGTCGCGCCCGGCTTGCAAGATAAAAAGTCCTCAGTTTTTTAACCTCGACCACGCGGAGATCCCCTTAGATACCTAAACTATCTGACATAGCTGCTTACGCCGAAGCTCTACGCAAGCTCTACCTAACCTTGGCTCTGTGCCACTTGGCTCTGTGCCACTTGGCTCTGTGCCACTTGGCTCTGTGCCACTTGGCTCTGCGCCACTTGGCTCTGTGCCACTTGGCTCTGCGCAACTTGGCTCTGTGCAACTTGGCTCTGCGCAACGCAATGCAACTTGGCTCTGTGCCACTTGGCTCTGTGCAACTTGGCTCTGTGCCACTTGGCTCTGTGCAACTTGGCTCTGCGCAACTTGGCTCTGCTCTGTGCCACTTGGCTCTGTGCAACTTGGCTCTGTGCAACTTGGCTCTGTGCCACTTGGCTCTATGTAACTTGTCCAAGGGCTCCGCGCACGGAAGAACCCTTCGCGATGCTCTCGGGAATTAAAGGGAAATGGAAAGAAATTGATGGGACACGGGAATGAAATCGTTAGCGAGCTTGTGTCTGCTGGTAGGGACCAAGGGGGTCTTTTTGCCGCCTTTTGTGGAACAATACCCCCTCATAGTGAAGGGTTCCTTTTTGAGGGTGTCGCCAATTTTCTGACACAAGGTGGCAAAAAGACACCCCTGGTAGGGGGCCGACCATGATTCGGAATTCGCGCTTACTCTGCAAGATAATTCCTGCGAAAACCGATTGCACTGCGCGCGTCTTTCTCTGTAAGCTGCTGTCAGTGAAACATGCGATCGTAATCCTCAAGCTCACAGCCTGAGAGCTGCGTAAAGCACTGCCAGTTGCCGAATCGCAAAGGAAGTCTTTTGCAAAGCGCAGCACTTGCGATGCTCATGGTTTGCCAGAAACACTACTTGCAATCACCTTCGAAAACAAGGCAATGGTCTGCGCAAAGCCCTCCAAAAGCCGCTGCATATGTAGCTGCAAAAGCATTCTGAAGCGTATTAGTCTCTGGGTTGCGTGTGGCCCGCCAGCGGTAGTGCGGTTTCGACTAAGTTGGGGATTGCCATGATGGACTATGGAATGCCAGAATCATAAGGATGAGGGGGTATTTGATCATGATCAACAAGGTCACAGTGCATGAGCATGCGAAGGACCAGGCAAACACGGCGGTCCGCATCACGCGCGGGTGAACAAAGGCGGGTGCTACGACGCCTTCCTTGTTGTCATAGTCACACGGCGTGACAACCCAATCACCCTGGAGCTCTCACAAAGCAGCAGACCGGGGGGAGAAGCTCACCACGGATCAAAATTGGCAATCGTGGGCAGCAAGTCAGGTCTGCTACCCAGAAATTCAGGAACAAGACGTGAAGCATGAGGCAGTAACTTTCTGCGGGAGGGTGGGGCCAGGCTATAAAGGCAATTGAATTTTTCTGGAAGACTACGGAATGTGAAAGTTGCCATGCACATGGACGAAAATGCGGTTGCCGCATATGTGGTCAATTATCACATGCCGGCATTGGAGCGCGCGCTGATTTCAGCACGCGCAAGCGTTCCTTGTCAGCAGACACGGACTTTTTCTTTGGTCTGATGTAGGCGCCTTGCAAACTAAGCAAGGCCACAAGTGCGGATGACTTCCTCAGTGCAATGTGCGACACGGTGTCGGTCTTTCGCCAACTGCAGTGCATGAGACATGTGGCGCTGGACTTCGCCTTTGGCAACCGGCCGCACAAGCGGATGGGACGCTTGCGTAAGTCCGGTAACGAGACTCACAAGGGTCTTTGGTGGCCGGCGGCAGCCAGTCGTGCGTTGAACTGGTGCAACTAGGTGTCCTCGCAGGCGGGGAAGCTTCTTGCACTTCTCTTTGCACCACTGCACAGTCTCCGCAGGGCGTTTTTGTAGCGCAAGGTTTGCCGTTGCAGTTGGTTCCTTCGGGTTATGAACATTCTGCCGGTGTTGCGCAATCTTGCCGGTCACCGTGCAGCTCAGTGATACCCCGGCGTTTCCCAATCAAAATGGCGCAATGCCCGAGTCTGCCACGACGCTGAAGTCCATAGCTCCAGAAGCACTCAACTCGGCAGACTTGCCAGGGAACCAATAAGGAAAAACACAAACCCTGGCCAGCATAAGCAGAGGACTAGCCTCTATGTTGAAGCAGAAACGAGATTGCCATCCCGAAACCTGGGTAACTCCCCACAGCCCGGACCCTTGTTCTTACATGGGGTGGTTGGGAAGCGACCGAAAGTCAGGGCAGCGTTCAATGAGTCGGGCTCATGCGAAGGACAAGGGTTGGCCTGCTCTTCTTATGACCTTATGCCCTAATATTTGCGAGCTGGCGCAACTGGGCGGACAGGCAAGCTCCGCAAACGGAAGTACAGCGAGCCCTGACCAAGGTCCACAGCACCAAAAGAGCGCCCAATAGTCAGAGGCCGCAGCCAGTGACCCGGAAAAGGACAGGTATGCTTCTTGACAACCCTGTTTGTGAGTCTGTGTAGTGTCTGTGGCACGGCGCGATTCTAGCAGCATTGGCACAGTCTCCGTCTCAAACCCGGGGCCTCATGCTGCACATTGCGTGGCACTTCAAAAAGATCAAAACAAAGGAAACTCCAATTTGATGTAGCACGTGTTTTTTTGTTTCGTGAGAAGAGGAACTTCGAGCGCTGTGCCCAGGCCGCATCGCAATGTACGTGTGGTGGCCAATCGGACCCGGGCGGTGGCCACGCCCATGTTGGATGAGCCGCCAATCTGCTCCCACACTACTTGCACCGACCGACCTTGGAAAATAAGGCAATGGTCTGCGCCAAGCCCTGAAAATGCTGCGGCCGCTGCGCACACGAGGACAATGAATCTTGGATGTTGAAGGCATGCCAGCGCAAACGCAAGTCATCATATCTTGGCTGCTGCGAAAACTCCACCAAGCATGAGCCTTTTCCTCAAGAGATCGCCCAAGATTTCTGTGCAAAATGCTACGGGCGCCTCTCGCGCCTGCAACCTCAGCCTTGGGGTTGTCTGCTCTGGGTCAAAGACATGTTCTGAAGCGTTTTGACACGTGTCGCCTCCTGCCTGCTCCGAATCATGAGGTGTGACAAATGCGCAAGCACGTCCGCCGGCACTTACGCCCCAGCGTTGCTCTCAAAACAGCGCAATGTCCCAGTGACCGTGCTGAGCAACACTGTCTGCTGGGACGCTGAAGTCCATAGCTCCAGAAGCACTCAACTCAGCAGACTTACCACTCTTATCACGGGCAGCTTTGGGACCAATGCTAAAAAAGCAAACCCTGCCCAGCATCTGCATGGAACTAGCCTCGATGTTGAAGCAGCAACCAGATTGCCATCGCTTTCTCAGGCTATTTTTTGGGACTTGAAACCTGGGTAACCAGGGTAGGATCCGGACAGCCCACACTGGACCCTGTGATATGTTCTTGCATGGGGTGGCTGGGAAGCGACCGAAAGTCAGGGCAGCATCCAATGAGTCGGGCTCATGCAAAGGACCAGGGGTTCGGAATTGAATCTTCGCCTGACAGGCAAGCCCTCTTCTCCCTCTACCTATGCCGCTATGCCCTAGTATTGGCGCGCTTGCGCGCGTGGCTCCGGAGCACAGCACCAAAACCCCCCCCCCCCCAATCCAGGACTGAGGATTGACACGTGAAGCATCGAGCCAATTCTTCTGCCAGCAGACTAAATTGCCACAGCTGGGCATTTGCTGAGCTCAAGAAGGCGCATCATCTGCAAAATGCTACTCATAGCCGAAAGCTTCGCGGCACTTGCTTTTGAAGGTGGGTGCTCAGCTACTGTGGCGCTCATGCGCTCAAGCATTCACGTGCGAAGCCAAGCAAAGTATTAGACTCGTCTGCTGGATAGAACCGAAGAATATCCACCGCTTCACCCGCGCTGCAGCTGCAAGGGGAGTGTCAGCGACCAACTCATTGCTTTTGACAGCCGCTGGATGAATCAGCAGCAACACTTCAAGTTGCACTTGCGACGGCATCTGATAGCTGCGTCTGCGACGACTCGCTCGAGCATTGGGTGACTGAAGGAGTTGAGGCCACATGTCTCAGGCCAGCGCGAGCTTGCCATTGCAAAGCGCAGCACAGCTGAGACTTGGAATCAGCATGGCTCCAAATAAGCGCAGCCGCTCTGCAAGGCCAAAGAAGCCAGCAAACTGCAAGGCTGCTTCAAGCCCAGTGAAGCCCCCCCGCCTTCTGGCAACCTGCAAGCCAACATAGCCCCATCTGCAAGATTCATTGGACTTATGCTTACTCACACTCGAGCTAGTTTCTATCGAGCCAACGTGACCCCAGCTCTGTAATTCTGCGGGCTCCGAAATGCGCACGTGGCATGGAACAACCACATGGCTCAGGCTGATATGAGCTTGCGACTGCAAGTAACGGAAGTATACACGGAGATGGTGACTTGGAATCGGAATGGCTCCGAATAAGCGCAGCCGCTCTGCAAGGCCAAAGGAGCCAGCAAACTGCAAGGCTGCTTCAAGCCCAGTGAAGCCCCCCCGCCTTCTGGCAACCTGCAAGCCAAGATAGCCACATCTGCAAGAGCATTCATTGGGCTTATTGGGAGACGGATGCTTGCTCACACTCAAGCTAGTTTCTAACCAGACAACGTGGCCCCAAGTGGGTTGATTGATTCCGAAGCTCAGTTTTGTCATCGCAAGAGCCCCCCTCAAGGCTCAATTCCTGCAACGAAGTCACAGTTGGTGTTGGCAACTTTTGAAGGGGCGCGCGGTCTTCAAACCACAAGCTTGGGTTTGTAGCGTTGTAAGCCACAGATAGCCACCGGGCTGAGGTTCATAAAGTTTTCGGCCACAGATTTTGGGGTTCATACGGGATTTCGGGCACAGATTTTTGGGGTTCATAGGGGTTTTCGGGCACATTTTGTGGCAAGTTTCCTGCACAGCCCAGGTCAAACCTTGAAGAAGTTTGCCAAACGCGAATTCCACCATGTGCTAGGCCAAAGGCAGTTCCTGCTAGCGCTAATGATGTAGACATGGCTGAGTGGCCAGTTTTCTCTGGCCGGATACCAAACGGCCTCCATCGAGCCACACTTGCGCGGCAGTCAATTCTCTCAAAGGGCAAACCGGTTCGCTTGCCAAGCGCTTCTCACCGACCGCCAAATTTTAACCCATATTTTAGCGCCCTTTTCATTTTAACCTGTAACTATGAGACCAGGTCCTGGGGTTTATCTAGGGGTTCAAACATTGGCTCTTGAAGAAGCCAGCAAACTGCAAGGCTGCTTCAAGCCCAGCAAAGCCTCGCCTTCTGGCAACCTGCAAGCCAAGATTGCACTATCTGCAAGGGCACTTTGGACTCACACTCGAGCCAGTTTCTAACAAGCCAACGTGACCCCAGCTCGGTAATTCTGCGGGCTCCGAAATGCGCACGCACGTGGTATGGAACAACCACATGGCTCTGGCTGATATGAGCTTGCGACTGCAGATGCTGCAAGCGCACACAGACATGGACGGCTGTGACTTGGAATCGGCAAGGCTCCAAATACGCGCAACCTCCCGCCGAAGCAGCCCAGTGAAGCCCGGCTCCTGGCAATCTGCAGATCGCCCCATCTGAAAAAGCCACTTGACTTACTGGCGCTGCACCCAAATGAGCAAAAGCCAAGTTGCTAAACGCAGTTTGCCCGCGGGTTCCCAGGTTCCTCCGAAACTGTGTGCCCCCAACACGGAATTGGCCGAGTGGACGCGTGGGGAAACATATGTTCAAATTGGATCTCTCTGTATTCGGATCTTTGTCATTTATGGATTTGCCAGTGGACAGTATAAGACCAACCAACTCTTGGAAATGATTTGGCACCGTATGGCACTTAATTCGTGTCCCACCATTGTCGCTGGTGACTTCAATACGAAAGTCGTCAATAGCTCAACAGTTCCTTGACGCTGGGTTTCAGGAAGTGACTTCTTGGTACCAGAACGTTAAAAATGCGGAGCTGCCTCCAACTTGTGGAAATACGTCCCGTAATGACACTATGCTTATCGACTGTAGAATTCTACCTTTCTTGCGAGACGTTAAAGTTGAAATTGACTCTCCATTTGACATCCACAGACCACTGATTATCACGCTTACGGTCCCATCTACGTTGTTAACACGTACTAGGTTTGCATTGCCCAAGGATCTTATGGAGCTTGGACTTCCAGAACAAACGACTCAGCAATGCTATGATTCTAAGCGTGAAAGTTTTCAGATGCCAGGCCACCCCATTGCAAACTCAGGCCAAGCTGAGCACAAACGTCGCCAATGGGCAAAACTGGTCGAATCTTCATTTGCTGACTCGGTGAGGAATTGTCATGACCAAGATCCAGTCCAGTATCCAGTTGCCACTCTCCCAAGAAAATACAAAGGCAGATGTACAACACGTAGATTGGTCACGGTGCCTATCACCCACCCTCCCAAGCAGGCCCGCATGGGTGAATATGAGCCGCCATGTGAGTGCTCAGACATGGGATACCATAAAAAAATTAGACAGGTTCGTAGAATCCAGTCTCTCCTGTCTATTTTGAAGAAGTATTCAGGCGCGCTGCCACCACATCTGGCCAATCAATGTCAAAGGGAATGGGACTGCATCCGCAAGGGGTCGGGCTATAGTCCGGACTTCCAAAGCATTGTCCAGATGTAGAATACTCATTTGCCGTCTCTTCACTCAAGGAGAGGGGCCCCTTTTCTTCACTCAGTCCCGCTCACTAGAGCGCACTCATGGCATGGACGGGTCGCTGAGACCCTGAGAGGAAAACAGATCCCGCGCTCTGGTTGCGCCTTTGGATCCGTTGCATTGGCAGCGGAGCGGTAACGATCCTCGGCCTCGCTTTGCATTTTGGTGATCGCGAAGCCCCATGTCACGATTCGGGACAAGGCCTACTTTCGTGGTGAGCCCAATTTCTTCCAGTTTTCCACTCACTGCATTTTGCCGTCATCATGGACTCGAGAGATAGCGGCCATACACCTGCTTGGGATGGTCAGGCCAAGACTTGGCGCCGCTATACCCGTGAGGTCAGTTGGTTCGTGCAGGCCACTCCTGTGCACAAGCGGAGGCATGTGGCCACCAAACTGATTGCTAGGCTCAGTGGTCCAGCTCGGCTACTGGCTATGTCTTGGTCGCAAATCCAGTTTGACTGCCAGAATGGAACGCTTCGACTACTACAACGCCTAGCAGCCTCACCATTAGTCAGACGTAATCTACCCAACACGGCGGCCATCATGGCCCAGTACTTCAAGTTCCGCCGTCATCATGGAGAAGACATTGCCACATTCCTGGTCAGAGAGACACTCGTCCATGAGGAGTTCACGGAGGCCCTCAGTCGCCTTGCTCAGGAGCAAAAGGGCATCAGCGAGGACCAGCGAGACTTCGGCCTCCCGCCTGTTGTCGAGGAAGGCGACTGGTGGGACGGCTGGGATGGTTGGGACAATGAGGTTCCTGAACATGATGGAGATCCTTCTGAAGCAGATGTACCAGCAGAACCTGCCGGAGATGATCCACACCGTGAAGGAGGCGATCAAGCACGTTCTCCAGCCGAACCAGCTCAGACACGAGCTACTACTGGGTCCTCACCATCGCATGCAACACCAGCACCAAGCCGATCAGCGCCTACAGTGACCTTGCCAACCCTACCGGCAACGTGGGAGGACGGGGCTGGTGTTGATGAGTCGGGGATGTCCCTCGCCGACTCCTTCATCTTGGGTGTCCTTCGAGGCTGGCGGCTACTACAAGCTGCATCTCTTAATCACGAGGAGAAGCGGGACATTCTCACGGCGACGTCAAATAGCTTGGACTACCACGCTGTTGCTCGCGCCCTACAGACCTTGTGGGACGACCAGATGTTTGTACCCCGCAAGGGCAATCATCACTCGCAGTACAACAACAACATGTACCACGACGTTGCCTACGTTGAAGACGACGATTGGTCAGATGATTGGTCCTCCTGGGCATCTCACGATTGGTGGGATGCAGCTTGGACCGAAGACTGGTCACACCACTCTGAGAATGACCCAGACAATGTCGCAGACGACACCATGGAAGCTCATGCTCTCACCCCGGAGGAACAGGAGCATGTCAACGAAACTATGCGTGCGGAGAAGATCGCGGAGCAGCTTGCTGCCGAAGCTCAACGTACGTGGGCTGACGCTCAACGTGCTACAGCTGCTCTACGACGCGATCGAGGCTTTGGCTCTTCGAATGTCAGCAAGGGTAAGGGCAAGGACAGCGGCTGTTTCATTTGCGGTGGACCTCACATGGCTCGCGAATGCCCTGATCGCCGTCACCCTGGACACTATGGTGCGAAGTCTAAGTCCAAGGGCAAGTTTGCCAACGCCATTGACTATGAGTACGATGCCTATGTCATCGGCAAGGGCAAGGGTCGCAAGGGCAAGAACAAGAGCGCTATGATGAGCGACGCCGACGTCCACTGGATGTACAAGGGCGCCGGCAAGTCCAAGGGCAAATCCACGCACTCCACGTCCGGCAATGTCAACCTGTACGGCTTGCAGATGATGGACCTGAACCCCGTAGTCACCAGTAGCAACCACCCGCCGGGAACCGGCATGCTTGACTGCGGAGCAACTGCAAGTGCAGCGCCCGACGCAAGCGTTCAAGGGCTGATTTCAGCCGTCTTGGCACAAGACCGTCAGGCAGACATTGTGATTGACCGAAGCTCGCGGCCATACTTTCGTTACGGCAGCGGCAAGTGGGGGCAGGCTCTTCACAAGGTTAGTATTTCTTCATCAGCGTCGGGAAATCGGAAGACCTTCCATGTTTATTCGCTGCAGGATCCCCCGGGTGTCAAGGAACAGTGGTTCAACAAGCTGGTCCCTGTACTTGTTGGTATGTCACATGCTGGTCGGGACGGTGTTGGCATGGTGGTGGATCTTGCTGAAGGTCATGCAATCAATGCTCTCGAGAAGGATCCCCAACCGTACCAGCTATCCCAGAATGCCAAGGGCCATTTCCTGGTTGACCTAGCTTACTTCCTCACCGAGGGATGTCGCAACGTTGATGGACATGCATCAGTTCACATTATTTCGCCTCAGAATCCACAGCCCATCACGACCATGGAGATGCATACACTGGGGACTCACGTTTTGAAGTCACACTCCAGCCCCACAACTACACCGAGCACCCATGCTCGTCGCAAGATGCTTGAGCTATATCGTCACAAGTTGATTGAAAATCGATGTGCCGTGCCGGTCTGGCTCAGCAACGAGCTCATGTCAATTGCGACATCTGCCCCTAGTGCATCGATCCCTCTGTGTGCTGATCATGAGCCGAACTCCCATGACCGTTCCGACCACCCAGGAAGCGGAGGGAATCGTGCACGCCATCAAGATGAGCACTCCGGCCAAGGAGAAAGCTCGACCATTCGACCCGGAGCGCAAGGTCACCTACGATCCTCGCGATCCACGAGCACAGGATCAGTGGCCATGTTTTCAAAGGCATTTGGCGGACCAGCCGAAGTCAAACCCTCATGGCCAGTGGACACACTGTGCGATCTGCGATCTTCGGCTGGAATATGTACCGAGGAAGGGGTCTGCCGGCATGAGCACTCAGAACCCGAATCCGGCCATCATCCAGAAGGCTCTCAACGGACTTCAGGTGCTCATGGAGGGTGCCAAGCCGACGGCCAACATCATGAAGGCCATGGTCGAGAAGATCGCTGCCGAGGAAAAGCTCAAGGCGGTCATAAAGGAGCACGACAAGCACTCCCACAAGACCACGGTGATCACCATCACGAAGCCGTCCCTGAAGAAGGGCTACGTGGAGGAGTCATCCAACGACAGCTGGAGCCAGTGTACGGCTCAGGATCTGGAGCACCTCACCGAGCAGGAGAAGGCCGAGCTCATGTCCACGATCCGGTCCCGGAGGAGCGCAGCATCAGCTCACATGGAGAATGTCGAGGAGGCGGCCTGAAAGATGGACCTCACCGTCATCCACTCCCGCTACGAGTGGGCCACAAGCTGATGCAGATGTCCGTTCTAATGACTGCGGCTACTTCGAGTCTCATCATGAACTTGCACAAGGAGAACCACCTCAAGGGCGACTTCCTGTGGGAGTTTGCGTGTGCGCCGGAGAGTTGGCTGTCACAGGCCATTCTGGATCGGCATTTGATCGCCCGGCGCATCAACCTGAGCGAAGGGTATGACCTCTTCAAGCCAGATACCTGGAAACGCCTTCGGGTACTTCGAGATGCTCACAAGCCCAAGAAGCTCTGGTTCTCGCTTCCCTGCACCCACTTCTGCAACTGGGTATCCGTCAACTACAACACTCCCGAGCGCAAGGAGCGTCTTGAGGACCTACGTCGGAAAGATCGGCGTATGATGCGACAGGCCAAGGACTTCATCCTGGAGACCGTTGAGCTCTACCCCAACACTGATGTCTACTGGGAATGGACACACCCTTGTACTGGCTGGTCACAACAGCCGATGGTGCAGCTACAAGACGGACTATACAGTCGCGGACTTCCCTGGCTACCCTGTCGCATTGACGGCTGTAACTACGGCATGGTCAACAAGGACGGCGCACCCTTGCATAAGAAGTGGC